AGAGTATGTTTTGTAACTGATATCAATAGCCAATTCTTTAAAACAACAGCTATACAAAATAGAGCTACATAATATAGGGTAGTCTTAACCCTGCAGCTGGGGATGATAGGAGCTGTAATTGCTCCCAAATTTCAGGGAGTCACCAAGCGGGTGAAAACTGTTCTAATTGAATGGTTAATGGGAATCTGGTAATTGCTCCCAAATTTCAGGGAGTCACCAAGCGGGTGAAAACTGTTCTAATTGAATGGTTAATGGGAATCTGGTAATTGCTCCCAAATTTCAGGGAGTCACCAAGCGGGTGAAAACTGTTCTAATTGAATGGTTAATGGGAATCTGGTAGCATGAATGATAAATTTTAATTCAGCATGTATTGTAAATCTAACATGCTAAGAAACCGAGCCAAGTGGACATACAGCTTAAAATTTCTTTTCCTTTATTTTCATCACTGGATTGCATATATTTTCTCACTTTTAAAGGAAACATTTCATTAAGTAAATATAACGTCTTTTTTTTCCCTCATGGTATACATTTCTCTTTAATACCCTGCTAGTGTAGTCATGGAAAAATTCAAGTCTTAATATAGAAAGCTGTGTTTTGTATTAGAAAGTCATGGTTTGTATTTGTTAAATTATAAGCTTGAGAAGGGAAAATAAAGTAGAATTTGGGCCACATTTATAATGAACACTTGAAACATCTACCAAGTCTGAGATTTTATAACTAAACGAATCTTTCTTACTAAACAGCATCTGAAATATGAAATTATTCTGGCAGTGAATTTCAAAGGTTCCCTGTTCCTTTTCCCTGTACCAAGATTCTGATTTTTGGTATGTTTAGTGGCAATAGTTTTATAACATGAGACCACACTCTTAAATAGCTTTTTAAGTTTAATTCTTGTTACAAGAAGTTCAGATTTTTTTTCTCTTTGGCCAGAAGAATATGTATACTAAATGTGAATCTCATTCAAGAACAGACTCGTACGTAGACTTTTGCTTACTCCAGATGAGGGATTTAATTAAGTAAATTGGAGTGTTTCCCAGCATGAGTCCCCTGCATAAACAATTGACTAGTCTTGGGCTTACGACTGCTATCGCCCTCCATTCCTTCAAGGGAATGCCGAAGTATACTTTTGTATCATGAGGATTAGCTATAGTAAACTTGAGGCTTTTGTACTTATTCTTGCTCTTATTTTTATGATAGAGTCATGAGGCATGTTGAAGTCTTAATGAAATGCTGGGGCTTCTAGGGCCTGCAAGAACTGAATTTGTAAATAAGACCGTGTAATCATTAATTTTATTTTGGTTTTTTTCCCCCCCTCTGAAGAGCTGTAACAGAGAACATAACTTTGACATGCAATAAGCATGAGAACATTGATTTCACATTGTCCCACCCATTTGTCCCTTGTTTCCTAACAACAACTAAAGTTCTGTCATCATCAGATGAAATTATGTGGGCTCAGTCAGCCCAGTGGGTGGGGCCAGGACAAGAACGAATTGTGCTTTGATGGCACTTGAGTTAATTTTAATTGGAAATCAGTTAAATACAATCAATATGGTTACATACCCTTAATTTCCAACTTCTGTTGTATTAAAAATTACAATTCAGAGATGATATTTGGAAGGTCTGGTAGAATTCTCCCAAGGCTTTTGGGAACTGGATCCATAGATTGCACAGTCCTGCATTATAGCTTAGCATTCTGTATAAAACATGCCATCATAAACCATGTTTAAAAATTCTGGTTTAAGATAATGTGTGGACATTATGGCAGTGTTCTGTCCTCCTTGTTCTAAGCTTATGACAATTTTACAGTTCAGTACTCACCCTTCGCTTTGTATTCCATAAACTTGTAAATGTGGAAATATTATGAATATCCAAGAAGTAACGTGGTAGAAATATAATAAAGAGAAACAGTATTCTAATATTAACATTGATAGTATTTATGTACAGGGTTTGTTCTTTAGATGTGATCTTTAATGGATTATTTATTTAACTATTTATGGGGGGATTTTTAATTGTTAATGGGGTCTCTGATTTTAATTGTGAGCCACCCAGAGTCACCCATTGGGGGGAGATGGGTGGCATACAAATTTAATAATGAATGAATGAATGAATGAATGAATGAA